TTTGGAGACTGCGTATGTCGGGGTCGTCTCAGTTATTTGTCTCCGTGACCAAGAGGCCTGACAGGAACAGTGAGAGGAGGAGAAGTTCACTTGGCCCATGGCTTCACAGGTCTCCGTCCATAGTGGGCGGACACCGTGGCCCTGGGCTTGGGGTGAGCAGGACGTTGTGGTGGGAGGGTGTGGAGGAGGACCGTCAGGAGGAAGGGAGAGTTCTGCTCACCAGGCACATCTACTCCCTTATTTTCGACATTTGTGTACCTTATTATTTTTGAATGTCCCAAGTAGACACCGATTTCGTGTTATTTTTTTCCCCCAATTAGAGAATCCCATTTTTTCCCCAAGTTTAACAGCTCTGTTGACCTAGAGTTTACAAACCTTGCGCTTCACCTATTTAAAACGTGAAATTCAGTGGATTTCAGTGTATTCACGGAGTTGTGTAGTCGTCACCAAGGTCTGATTGTAGGACGTGTTCCTCGTGCCTAAGAGAAACCCTGGAACCCTAGGAGCTGATCCCTGTTTCTCCCTCCCTCCTCCTGGGGCCATTGTCAATCTACTTTCTGTCTCCAAATGTTTGAGTCTGAACATTTCCTATAAGTGGAGTCATCACCGGTGGTGACTGTTTTTGTATTTATTTTCAAGGGTCATCTGTGTTGTGTAATATGTATCAGGATTTCTCTCCTTAAAAAAAAAATAAACAAAATAACCTGCTGAGTAACCTTCTGCTTTGTGGATATACCACAGTCTGTCTGTCTGTTCAGCCGCTGATGGACATTCATTTCCATTTTATGATATTGTAGATGTTGCGTCAATGAACACTCACGGACAGGTCTTTGTGTGTGAGAGTCCCTGATGTTTTGGTTGGAGAGTTTAACACATTCACATTTATTATACTGCTTCTCACTTTGGGACTTATTTTCGTCACTTACTTTTACTGTTTTCTCCCCTCTCTACTTTCTTTCCTTTGGATCGACAGAGATGCATTGGTGGCCACAAGGTTATATGTTCTATTTTTGTTTTTACGATGGTCACCATTTAAGATTAGCTTGTTTTGCCTGTGTGTCCCTACCGACTCTTACACGCATCGGTATCCACACTTCTTCCTCACAAGCTAAACACTTGACTTTCTCTGTTCCTACCCTTCAGTTCTTTAAAATCACTCCTCCATTCTCCTGGCACCCAGCGTTGCTATGAAAAATCCAGTATCAGTCTTGTCTTCCCTTTGTGGCTTCTCTGGTCAATTTTCTAGAATGTTCTCACATCGTACAGAAAGGGATCTGCAGCCTGCGTCTCAGCCTGGCTCCTTCACCTGGTCATGGGTGAAGTGGGCTTTTGTAAGAAATCATCAGTCATCTTCCAAAGTCCTCTCACCCTGTTTTACACCCCCACCACAGAGAAGGAGAGCTCTAGTTGCTTGGCTGACGTATTTGGCCTTTTCAGTTCACGTTTTAGAGTCATTCTAATAGGTGTCTAGCGCGACCTCATCTGTGGCTTCAATCTACATTTCCCCCAAGGATGATAATATCGGGCATCTCATCCTGTGCTTCTTTTTGACATCTCTACAGCGTCTTTTGCAAAATGTGCAGATATTTAGTCCATTTTTTTTTAACTGAGTTGTCTTTTTGCATGGCAAGCATTCTCAACCTGCTGTGGAAATTCATTTTTCTCCCAGTTTGTGATGCGCTTCTGTGATTTTCTTAAAGGTGTTTTAGTTTTTTTTCTATCTTCCAGTTTTTCAATTTTTTTTTTTTTTTACTTGATGGAACTTTTATTTATATGTGGTGCTGAGGATCGAACCCAGTGCCTCCCACATGCTCAGCAAACGCTCTGCCACGGAGCCCCAACCCCAGCCCTCTTCATTTTTAAAGATTTTCCTAGGAAATCTCTCTCCCTTAATATCACAAATATTTTTGCCAATATTTTCTTTAAAAGTTTTATACTTTTGACTCTTAGGTTCCGTTCTCTGACCCATCTGGAGTTCATTACTGTGAATGACCTTGGTAAAGATCCATTCTACTCATTCTCTCTGCCCATAGAACCTTCTAGAACTTCCAGCACATCCTGGAGAAAAGGCCACCTCGCTGCCTTAGTTGGACAAACGAGCCTTTGCCCTTTGGTCACCCCCAAACCCGCTTCCTCTTGGTTTTTAGCTCCTGAGGATTTTTCTTCCTTCCTTGTGAGTCCTGCTGGGCCACGGGGAGGTGGGGTGGGCTCAGCGTCATCCACTATTTCTGTGTTTTATGACAGGACGGGGTTTGGGGCCCTGGGACCTGCACTATGGCCCTGTGGCCCAGCTCCACCTCCGCACGGCAGGATGGAGTGGGAGACTGGATGTGGCACCAGGGACCCCCGATACTGCTGTGTGCCGTCTGGTCTCCCTTTCTTGGGGTTTTATTCTCCTTTTTTTTTTTTAATAAAGTGAGGAGTCACAAGATCCCAGGGTTTCCTTCTTGTTTTAATTTTCTGATGCAGAGTCGATTGGTGGGCAGCCTTCCCCTCTCCTGGTCATTTCCAAGGGACCAGGTGGCTCCTGACCATCTTGTGCACCTCCCAACGCAGGCTGACCATGGGGGCCGTGAGTCTTCGGATGCCCCTTCCTTCCCTGCCGGCACAGAGAATGCCCAAGTCTTCCTCATAAATCCCACCCTTCATTCCCCCCAAGAGTCTTCCTGAAAATGGAGTCAGAGAGGCAAATGGGCTGCTCCGTGGCAGGCAGAGATGGGTGGTTAACTGGTAGGGGCTTCCTGGGTCTCCTCACTGGGGTGAATCCACCCGACTCCACAGTGCTGTGATCGATTGGTGATGTCTGCAAGGGATGTGGGAGAGGTGGCCTGGCCCGAGTGCCATGCACTTCCACAAGATTCCTTTGAATCAGGCCGTCTTGGGGAGGATGGGAGGGGGCTTGAAGGGGGACAAAACCAGTTCTTTTTGTTGACAAGACTTTATCTATCACTCCGGTCATTAGCATCGTGCCTGGTTTGTGGGGGACCCTGTTGAGGGGTGAAGCCTCCTCTCTCCCCATCTGGTGCTTCCACAGAGAAGAGGGACTCCCCTTCTCGCCTCCTCCCCAGGGGACAATCTGATCATGTATCTCTGGACATTCGCTGGGTCCCTTTGGCTGGTGGGAGGCGTCCCCACTCACAGGTGGCTCTTTTGCCCCTTTTCATGTGGCAAGAGCCATGGGGAGGGACAGGCCCTGACCCCATGGGCCCAGGCAGCTGCAGACATACACACAGAGATGGCCTGGGCACCCAGGTGGGCACCACGGCTCCGGGGACATCCAGGGAGGCAGGTGAGCAGCTTCACTCCAGGCTCTGGCTGTGCCAGGTTCCATCCCCCCTGTCCCCAGGGTCCTGGCCCAGGGGACAAAGGACACCTTTGGAACTTTCTTCCCCTGGCCTTCGTCAGCAGTCCTTGCTCTTGGGATGGGAGGAGGAGACCGTGGCCCCCATGACCCCTAACGAACATCAAGTCCCTAAGATACCAGAGTGTGCAGGCTGGACAAGACAGCGGCCACCTCTTGTCCATCTCTGGGGGGACAAATGTCTGATTCAGATAAAAACCAAGCCTCAGAAAGTTCAGGTTGAAAAAAGCATCTATTGCAGAGGACGCCCTAGAAAGTTCGCCCCCCGGGGGTCGGGGCCTGATGCTCTGGGCTCAGAGGACCCTGGGGAGTCCTGGCTCCTGGGAAAGAGCTCAGGGGAGCCCAGCCGAGCCCAGAGCTGCCCACCTGGGGCTGCGGGTGGCCAGCCCTCTCAGGGACATGGGACAAGGCGGCTCTGCAGGGGGACCCAGGTCTGGGGGGCCCCTTGGTGCTTCTGAGGGTGCCCCAGCCTCCACGGAGGCCCAGGTGGCCAGTCTGCAGAGGCCGGCTGAATGGCGTGAGCCTGCCCAGGGGCCACCAGCTCTGCTCTGTGCACACACCAGGACTTCCCGGGGCGCCTGTCACCCCTTCCTCTGGCTCCTCAGCCCCCGCTCTCGGCCCCCCAATGCCCTCCAGCCCCCGTCCTCTTGTCCCCTCTCCCCTCGTCCCCTCCTCTCCCGGTCCCTCCTCCCTTCTCTCGTCCCCTCCTCTTTCCACCTGGGCCAGACCCACGCCCTTTCCCACCCACAGAAGGGGCAGAGGACCCAGGCGGGTCGCATCGGATGCTCCTGGGGTGACCCTATGGTCCAGCAGGTGGCCCTCCTGTCTCCAGGGGATGGGACCCTCCGACTCTTCAGAGGCCACAGAGGAAGCGTGGGCTGGGGACAGCGGGTGACCCAGGCTTGGCCTGGCCAGGGCTGGGGGCCCGTCTGAGCCAGGCTGCCCCGTCCCCGGGCCTCACCCACAGGCTGAAGGCACGTTTCTTTATTGAAGGGGGCGGGCGGGGCGGGGTGCGGGCAGGGGCGTCCACGGCCACCGGGGCTCCTGTCACTTCTTGCTGGACTGCTTCTTCCTGCTGCCCCTTCTGGGTTTGGGGGGAAGAGGTGGCTCCACTTCAGGATCTTTGGGCCTAAATATCAAAACACAAAGGCATGGTGGGGAGGGGGGGGGGACCTGGCCAGGCCTGGGCTGGGGGGGCTGCGGCCATCGGGATGTCGCTCCCTGGGGAAGGGGACGGTGACACCTGTGGCCTTCCCACCTCTCCTGCTCCTCCTTCCCTCCTTCCTGGGACGCGGTCCTGCAGGACCCACGGTCTCGCTTTCCCTGCCTTTGCCTCTGGATTCCCGAACTTTCTGTAGGGCCCAGCAGGTGCCGGGCAGGGACACAGGGGACGGTCTCCTCCTTTCTGAGACCAAAGGGGTCAGGCTGCAAAGTCTACCCCAGAGCAATGCTGGCAGCTCTAGGGAGCCTCTGGCCGCCCGGCTGGACACAGTGGGCCACGGCTAGGGACAGACCCGTGCCTGGGGAGCAGTGGCCACGCAAGGCCAAAGTCCTGTGGTGGCCGCGCGGCCGGTGGCAGAGCCAGGGACCCCCCGCTGCAAGCTGTGCCTATTTGCTGGCCCCAAGCCACAATGGTCACCTACTTCACGTCAACCGGGGAAGCGATCTCCTTGTCCACCCTGTCTCCCAGGGCCAGCGAGGAGACGCTTCCTTCGAGATCCCCTGACGCGGCCTTCTTAGCTGGCTCAGAATCTTCCAGGCTTGGGATAATGGCTGAAACGCTGCAGGGCAGGGGACACGGGGGGACAGAGCTGGGCGGGGCAGAGGGAGAGAGAAGTCAGCCTTGGATCAAGGGGACCACCCTGGGGACCCACAGCCAGCTCAGGGCCGGGTCCCCAGGCTTCTGTTAGAGGCCACACTGCCTCTGGCTCATGTGCTGGCCACACCTGGACACCCAACAGGGACCACAGGAAACATGGCCACCGGGCAGAGGGGACTAACCTCGAAATGCCCAGTGGTGGGGCTCAAAGTGCCCCCCACCCAATAATGTGCTCAAGTCTGCACCTTCTCGATTTTTTGTGACGTTATTTGAAAACAGAATCACTGCAGAGATTAGTTAGTGGAGATGAAGTCCCCACACACCTGGCGTCAGGTGGTTCTGTAGTGTCGAGGGAAGGGTGGCATCATGCCACCCCAAGCCAAGGAACTACCAATACATTTCTGTTGCCGAGGCCACTCGGTGTGGAGACCTGGCGTCAGACTGTTTGGGGCTACTGTAACAAAACACCACAGACCGGGTATTGTTATAAACCACAGAAGGGTGTCTTGAGATGTGTTTCTCACAGTCCCAGATCAAGGCTCTGGGAGACTCAGTGTCTGCGGAGGACACTCCTCCTGATGGCAGCTTCTCGCCGTGCCCTCACACGGTGGAAGGGGCAGTCGTGTCCTCTGGGGTCTCTTACACAAGGGCACTAATCCCACTCAAGGGAGCACCACCCTCATGACCTGATCACCTCCCTGATGGCTCCTCTTCCCAACATCACTCAGTTGGAGGTGAGAATGTCAACGTGGGAACTTGGGAAGGGGGTGGAGACAGACATTCAGACCACAGCACCTTGTTACAATCACTGGAGGAAACTCACGGGCGTGGGTGCCCCTCACCTTTACACCCCACCTCATGGCTTTGCAGCCAGGTGCTGCCTGTGTTTCTGACCTCAGGAGGTTTCTGAGCATCACAGGAGCCACGAGCAGCAGGCTGCTCAGGGGTGTTTGTCCCTGTCTTACTGACTGAAGTTCAGAGAGGGAGTGGGCTTGTTCAGGGCTGCATAGTATATCAGTGGCCCAGATAGGACTGGCCATTTGCTCAGTGACTTGTCATGTGGTCATGATTATTCATTTGGAAGAAGCCTGTCATCTGGTGGGTAATGACACAGGGTGAGACCTGGGGGGCTCTGGGGGTAGGTGGCACCTATGCCTAAGACTCAGTGAGGTGTCACAGTCATCCCCACTGAGGCTGGCGGGGGGACGCAGGAGGACCAGGGCCGGGCCTATCCCACAAAAGCTCAGAGCCAGAGACAGTGAGGTGGGGACTGTTTAAATCTCTCTCTTTTGTTCTTAAAAAGGAGGTGAAGGAATAAAAAGTGACTTGCTCAAGTGGGGGCCTCTAACACGACTTCAAGGGCCCTAGAAAAAGGTTAAACAGAGAAACATGAAAACCATGTCACAGCCGGGCGCAGTGGCACCCGCGTGTCACCCTAGCAACTTGGGAGGCCCAGGCAGGAGGATGGCGAGTTCAAAGTCAGCCTCAGCAAAAGCGAGGCTCTGAGCAACTCAGGGAGACCCTGTCTCTAAATAAAATACAAAATTGGGCTGGGGACGGGGCTCCGTGGCCGAGTGTCCCTGAGTTCAATCCCTGGTGCGAAAAACAACATCCCCAAACAAAAACAAGGTCACAGAATCTGGGCATATTGTCACTATCTGCACTTAGCAAACTAGCGCACCCCTTGCCCCCTCCCTCCCCACCCCAGGCCCACCATACAAAGTCAGTGACTCTTGTAGACCCCTCAAAGGCCACCTGCAGCCCTTAGAGAAGATAAAGGCGTTTGTGCCCGTGGCTGGGCCCGGGTGCCGACATCCAGCCCCTGCTATTCTGAGAGGGAAGGATGGGGACACAAGAGCAGGGTCAGGCTGGGGGTCCGCCAGGGCCCCTGTCCCACAGAGCTCCAGCCTTGGGGGTGGGGAGGAGGTCCCTGGGGCCTGTGGTTGGTGTCAGATCCTTAGGGAGCAGAGAAGAGAGACCGAGAGAAGCCCTGACCACCCACCTGGGCATTGCACTCATTTACCCGTCCATCCGTCCGTCCATCCATCCCCATATTTACACTCAAGGAAGAATACGCACACCAGGCCCTGAGCCTACAGTCCTGCCAAGGCCTGAAGTAGCCCCTCCTGGGCACTGGCCTCCCTGCCTCCAGCCTCACCCCCGGCTGCCCAAGATGGCATCTTCCTTAACCTGGTCTTGTTTCCCTCCCTTGGAACCAGTCTAAGGTTCCCTGACGTCCGCAGGGGGACACCCAGTGCCCTGGCATGACACATGGATCGAGGCCCCGACTGACCAGCACGGTCACCAGCTCCACGTGGCAGCTCTTGCTAACTCCACGGCTCGCTGTGGCAATGTCACAAGCCTTGGTGACAAGGAGGGTGTGAGACGGTTCCCTGAGCCTGTGTGGCGCCCGCTCTCCATGCATGAGGCCAGCCCTCGGGTCCTGGGTCCCTAGGGACTGTGTCCAGGGGCTCTCGCCCTCAGAGAAAGGGTCCTGCTAAGTGGCCCAGGCTGGCCTCCAACATGCGATCCTCCTGCCTCAGCCTCCTGGGTCACTAGGATGACAGGTGTGCGTCACCAGGCCCAGATTAAGGGACACCCCTGCCCTGATGTGTGTGTCACCCGGGGTGGGGGCTCCTGGCTCAGAGCCGGGTCAGCTCCCCCCTGGACTCTCCGACACCTCGTCACAGGGCCTGGGCCCTGACGTCCCCTCCTCTCCCTGATGGCCCAGCCCAGGACCCTCAGTACCACAAGGGGATGTCACAGGTCACTCTGCCCGGCCCTTGTGGGGCCACCAGGCCCAGGCCCAGCACTGCCCAGGGCCAAGACCACAAAAGAAGCGTATCCCTACCCCAGGGTCTGACGGTCCAGCAGGGAGACAGACGGACGGCCATTACACTCAGCTCCCAGGCCCAGGGACACCAGCCTTTCAGAGGGGTCAGCGGAGGGCCAGGTGACAGGGACAGAGCCAAGGCTTCCAGGCCCCCAGCACGGACCCCCCATGGCATCTGCCACAGCCTGCCACTCTGTCACGGCCCAGGCACACTCAGGCAGGGGACAGCCCCCGGCTGGGCTCAGGCCACCTGCACCTGTCTCGAGAGTCCCCTCCTGGGTGGCTGCTCTCTGCCTGTCCCTCCCTGTGCGCGTCCCCTGCACCTCATCCTCACCAGGGTGGGGTGGGGCAGGGAGGGGACAGGCATGGATCACGGGGACACACTCCATGTGGCTGGCCCTCCCCACAGCGGGGGGCAGGGGAAGGGCAGCCACTGGGCACCCCCAGGTGTCCAAGCTCCCTGGGTCCCCCCAGCTGGGACCCTGGGAAGAGCGGGGGTGACAGCTTGGCCCCTGCAGTGCTGGTGCTTAAGGGCCCAGGCAGAGGCGCGGACCTGGCATGGCCTGTCCCCGAGGGTCTCCCTGCCCGCTTGGTAAGGACAGGGTGAGGGGCCCGGCCAGGCAGGGGACAGGGGCTGGGGTCCTCCACCTACCCCCTGTCAGCCTGGGCGGCTGCGCTGTGGGCTCAGAGGGGCGCCCGGGTGGAGGTGCCGACACCCCAGGAGGCCTTCTGGGAGGAGGGGGGCTTTCGGGCTGGGGCTCCAGGCTGTGGGGGGACAGAGACGGAGACGGCACAGGTCGGTGGGGAGGCGGGCCAGGCAGGGGCGGCCAGGGCAAGAAGAGGCCTGGAGTGACCCTGGCCCAAAAGGGCGTCACAAAACTGATCGTCGTGACCATCCGTGTTGGTCTTTGGTGGCCCTGGAGGCTGAAGCCAGGCCTGTGCGTGGCGCAGCTCCCCGCCCCTGAGCCACACCCTCACCCCCTTAATCCCTGTCAATATGTACGGTCGGCATTTGGGGGGTACTAGGCATGGGACCCAGGGGACGCTTCACCTCCGAGCCACACCCCCAGCCCTTCGTATTTTTTTTATTTTGAGACAGGGCCTTGCTAAGTTGCGGAGGCTGGCCTCCAACTTGCGATCCTCCTGCCTCAGCCTCCCGAGCTGCGGGGATTGCAGGTGTGGGCCACCGCGCCCGGCACTCTGTATGAGTTTAAGTACACGGTGGGAGCTGTGCTCAGGGCTCTAGAACACTTTCATCCTGCAAAACGGAAACTCTGCTCCCATTAAGCTCATTCTCTTGCCCCTGAGCCCTTGACCTTGGCCGTTCTACTTTGTCTCCATGAACTCGTGACTCCAGGAGCCTCAGACACGGTACAGTCACACACGGTGTCAGTCTTTCTGTGGCTGCTTGCTCCTCTCTTTGGGTCTTTGGCTCAGCCAAGGTGAAGAAGGTCAAGGTCAAGGTCAAGCATCCTTGAGTTGCTCAGAAACTGAAGGAGTGATGTGGCTTTGAAGCTGGGAGATGGGGTGGACGCCACGGGAGGAAGAAGCCACCTATCACTGGAGCTATTCAGGGGCGGGTGACCACGGCACCTGGGCGTCAGTGGACACTCTGTCGTCCAGCTCTTCCTCACTCTGCCTGCCCCTTGTCCCCTGGGATAAATATCGGTCCTCTGTCACCGGTCAGTAAATGTTTCTCCATAAAACACTTCTCCAGGGTCCCCAGGTGTCCCCCAGAGGACGAGCCAGGGACAAGGGAGGGAGATGGGGATCCTGTACACGGAGGTCACCAGCACAGAGAGGCCGGTCTGCTGGCTCGCACAGCGACCATGTGCAGAGAGACCGCTGCCCACTCTGCAGGAAAGGCTGTCCCCTGGTGTCCCAGCGCTCTGGCCTGCAGGGGTCTGGGGACTCCTGGTGGCCTACAGGGCTCCCCCAGATGCCCCACAGCCCCTGGCCCACCCACTCCTCTCTGCTTGCCAGGAGCCAGTCTGCCTGCCACCTCCCTGGACCTCACCAGACCCCTTGCTTCCGTCAGGTCCTCACGGACCCTGCCCACAGTGTCCCCGTGGCCGGGTCCTCCAAGGAGAGAGAAGCTGCCCAGCCCAGTGGCCACCCAGCCTCTCCTGACCCCTGTGCTCACCTCTCTACGTCGACCCTCCTGACCTGTCCCCAAGGATAAGGTTTCAAGACTCTTCCCAACACTCCTGTGCAAAGCCAGACGGAACAAGGGCACCCTCTGGGGCACCGTGACACTCTTGCCCCCTTCCTGCTGCCACCAAAAACAGGGACAAGGAAAAAAGCCTACGCCGCTTCCAAACAGACCCAGGTCTCTTCCTTGAACATTGTCACCGACGACTGGCTCAGTCTACAAAGGTGGACCCCGCGGATGGGCAGGGCTGACTTATCTAGGAGACACGGTTCCCACCAAGGGACAGCGAGGGCCTCCCAGAGCCTCAAGTACAAAGCCGTCGGCCTGTGTCCCTCTGGAATCAGGGGACCTAAAAGGCCCAGCAGGCCCTGACCGCCAAGGCCACAGCCCGTCAACCTCCCGAGGCTGAAGGTGGACATTTGCTCTTCCTCTCAGGCCACACTTAGCAGCTGAGCCCAGGGGAAACCTTGATTCAGCCGTGCCTCCCCCAGAGGCCGCCACCCCTCAGTGAGGGTCACCAAGCTCTGCACACAGGCTGCCTGCTCGGAGGGGCGCAGCCAAGCCCAGGGGAATGCAGCCCGCCCTGCCCGCGGCCACCAAGCACCTCACTGGACATGGCCGTCTGAGTTCCTGCCTGAACCACAGTGACCCATCCTGTTCGTAAGGACACTGTGCCATCTCACCCAGTGTCTCCGGAACCCAGACAATTCAGGCACGTCAGGCAGTACCAACCTAGTCACCCAGCTGGCGGGGATCAGCAGAAGGTGGGACGCCTTGAAAACCTGTCTAAATCTTTGACACGGTTTCCCCCATCGACAGGTAGGATCTAGTTCCCCTGCCTCGACTGTGGGCTGGCCCCAGGGACTCCGTGCGGTGGGACGTGTGAGGCCATAAGACTTAAGAGGCCAAGTCGTCAAAGGGGAGACGGCGTCCCTCCTGCTGGGAACCCAGCCGCCATGTTGTGAGGAAGCCCAGGCCGCCCGGGGAGGCAATGTAAGGACAGAAGCCCAAAGGGACCCCCAGGCCCCTGAGCGAGCAAGGCCTGGGGGTGATGCAGCCCCCCAGCTTCTGGATGAAAGTGCACAGCAGACCCCCTGCCTAGCCCAGCCCCGTCAGCTCCAGGACTGTGAGAGATCAATACCACAAAGCTTCAGAGAGAGGCCACAGGACCCGGTGTCATAGGGCAACGTCTCCTTATAAAGACGTCCTTCTCTGTTTCTCTACGCACCTCAGAGGCCGTTCTAGAATCAGGTGAGTCCTCCTGTACACACTCGCAAGACTCTGCCTCTTTCCTCTCTTAAGAACCTTGACCATCTCTGGGTCTCTGTTTGGTTTGTCTAGTTTTCTGATTCTTTGCCCAGAATTCCTCAAAAAAGTCATCGAAAACTGTCGTAAGCTCACCGGCCAGTCCTGTCTGAAGCCCTGGACTCCCCACAGATGAGGAGACCATGATGACTACTTAACAGTGACCTCATCCCTGACAGAGGCAGCTCTCAGGAAATGCTGACTGGGTCATGCCCACAACCTGACACGTGACAATGCCACACAGCTCTGTCCCACTGCCCCCGACCCACTTGAGACCCTGCGGCCCTTTCCTATTAACAGCGGAACCCAGATTGAGCCATGTCTCTTGATAAGTGTTTCCTGGCACCCCCCTGCCGCAGTCTGATATCTGTGTCCCCGTCCCCAAGTTCACGTGTTGAAATTGTCACGGCCAAGGTGATGGCACCAGGAGGCGGGGCCTGTGATACCTGTGCAGGTCAGGAGGGTGGAGCCTCATGAATGGGAGTGGTACCCTTGAAAGAGGTCCACGGGGTGAAGGTACGGGGCTGCTTTGTACCTTCTACCATGGAAGGACACGGGAGGAAAGGGCCACCCGTGAGGAGCCGGCCCCCATGAGACACCAAGTCAGCAGGTGCCTTGTTTTTGGACTTGGCCTTTAAACCTGAGAAACTTTTGTTGTTTATAAGCCTCCCGCTGTAAGGGAATTTTGTTATAGTATCCACACAGACTAAGGTGCCCGCTCCTTGTGGCCAAGTGGTCTTCTTCTGAGCGTCTCTGAACACGGCTTTGCCCGTGGCTGGCATCTGAGAGGAGCCCCGGCTTGTCTTGGGCCTGGGCCTTCCCCTCCCTCACTCCCCTCTCCGCCTCTGGAACATTCTAGAACACTCTGAGCCTCGTCTTCCCTTCTCCCTGTGATTCCCCACAACTGGTCTCCAAGGACCTCTGAGTCCTCTCCTTCCTTGTCTTGGGTGATGGGGACTCAGTCGCTCTTCTCTCTGCCCCTTCAGCCTCTGCCCTCCTCATGTCCACAGGCGCTTCCTCATCTTGCCTCCTCTACTGAGCATGCCCAGATGGCGGGGTCACTACTGAGCATGCCCAGATGGCGGGGTCACTACTGAGCATGCCCAGATGGCGGGGTCACTACTGAGCATGCCCAGATGGCGGGGTCACTGTGTGACCGCCACGGTTCCTCCCGGGATGGGATCCCCGCAGCCTCCTCAGGGTCAGGCAGCTCATTTCCTTGGGGTGAAGGTGGCATCAAGTCAAAGCCCTGCAGGACAAGGCTGTGTGCTCCGTGAGCCAAGAAATGACCAGGGGTCACCTCAGCAGACCCAGGCCCGGCAGGTGCTCGATCAGGTGGCATCACCTGGTTGCAACCCTGAGCTCAGGAGCCTGGGGCCACACTTGAGCCAGGCTGCCCTCTGCAAGGACCTGAGCCTGCTCTACGCATGACCCGTGTCCACTCGGCAAACCAAGCAGCAGCAGGGCTGCAGGTGCCAAATGGAGGCTGAGGCAGGAGGATCGTGAGCCCAAGGCCAGCCTCAGCAACTTAGCGAGGCCCTAAGCAACTCAGCGAGACCCTTGAGACTCAGGTCTCAAGATGGACCTGTCTGGAGGTTCCTGGGGGATCAGCTGCGGCTCCCAGGCCTGGTCGGAATGGGGTCTCTGCTCTACGGCAAAAGTCACCACCGACAACTAAACATTTGGCACATGCTGTTCCAGTCTCTGAGAATGCTGTTCCCCGTGGCACATAAGGTGCCTTGGGGTGAGTCCAAATGGGGTGAGGCAGGTGGGACAGGAGGCGGGGCTGCAGCTGGGGGTCCTGCCGGACGAGCCCCATCCTCAGGATCTCCGCAACAGACACGGGGACTATGCATCTGGCCCGAATCCCTCATCTCCAAGACAACCCTCTTGCCAACCTGCATCTCAAAGAAACTGACCACGTGCCCTGTCTCACCTGGCCACCTGGCCGCCTGCTCGCTCCTCTCCTGTCCCCTGCCAAGCCTCAGATGGCAGCTTCTGCCAGGTGGACCCCAAGCGCAGGCCACACTCCCCATGTCTGCCCTCCCCACTTCACCCCTTTGGCGGCCCCTCCCCCTCCCCAGGCCCCGCCCCCTGGCCTGGGTCCCCTGTACCTGAACTTGTAGTTGTCCGGCAGGAAGTAGCCCATCTTGCAGTCCTGCCGGGCCCGGAAGATCTGTTTGAGCAGGTTCTGCTTGCTGAAGCCGTAGCCGTTCAAAACGCGGCCCCCGAAGAGGAGCTTCCCCCCAGCAAACATCTGTGGGCAGTAGAGGACGTGGCCTCAGCCACCTGCCTGGGAGGTGGCCTGAGCCTGGCCTTGGCCTCCCCCTTGCTTGGCCTTTAGCCTCTGCTGGGCCAAGCTGCTCAAATGCTGCTGGACCCTCCCAGGTCCCTGGGGCCAGGACGGGGTCTTCTGATCCGAGGTCCACTCACCTGCCCAGGGCCATTTGTCCCCTCTGCTGCTAACCCACTTACTGGGATGTGGCTTATCGCTCATCCCATAGAATGGGGTCCCTTTTGCGGTTAACCAGAAAGGCAGGACCCCGAAGTAAAGAGACTGCGAGACCCGGACACCCGGGGGAGGTGGCACAGGACCCAGCGGGTGGCAGGAAATGCAGACGAGCAGTCAGGGTGACACGGGGGAGTCTCTCAGGGGCGCTTTCTGAGTTGCAATGACGCACTGTTCGTAGCATCAAGTGATGTGGAAACAGAGGAAGAGAAGTGGATTCCCTGGGTGAAGGGCCACCCATCCCTTGGTCTCTTGGGGTGGGGGACATGGGGGATCAGCCTAGGGCCCCGCCTGGCTCTGTGTGCCTGGTGACACAGGTCAGTCCTGCTCTCTGATCCCCAGGGAAGACCCAGAGTGGAGGGCAGGGAGCTGGCCGTCCCTCCCCAGGCCCCGCTCACCAGGATCATGCCCTGGACCACAGCGAACCTCTTCGCCAGCAGGGCCGGGCTCTTCTGCAGGGGACCGTGCAGGTCGTAACGCAGCAGGCGGTAGGGGTCGTGGCGACACTGCAGAGAGACAGGCTTCACAGTCACCCCATGCCAACGGGATGCACCAGGGTCACCCCTTCTGCCCCCGAGGAGGCCCCTGGGTCTGCGTGGCGCCCTCTACAGGTCAGCACTGGGATAGCTGCCCACTGGCCTGGCCCGCCCTAGCCTGGCCCTCCGGAGTGGCCCTGCAGAGCCCTGAGAGGAGCACTGTGCCCCTGGTGGCCCTGCATCCAGGCTGATGAGTCCACACTCCATGGCACCAAGGATGTCCCCACCTGTCCCCCAGGGCTGTCCCTCCCCCACTCCTTCCGGTGGTCCAGTCCCGCCCCAGCACCTGAACTGAACCCAGAGCTCTAGGTAGGGCCAGGTCCCTGGATGGGCACAGAGCAGGGTCTCAATGAATAGTCCCTGAGCCAGGGCCGTAGCACGTGCCTGTCATCCCAGCAGTTTGGGAGGCTGAGGCAGGAGGATTGAAAGTTGGAGGCCAGCCTTGAAACTTAGCAAAGCCTGAGACAACTTGGTGAGATCCTCTCTCTAAAGAAAATGTAAAAAAGGGGCTGGGGGGCTGGGGATGTGGCTCAAGAGGTAGAACGCCCTCCTAGCACATGTGAGGCGCTGGGTTCGATCCTCAGCACCACATAAAAATAAAAAAATAAATAAAGATATTGTGTCCAACTACAACTAAAAAATAAATATTAAAAAAAAATTTGTGGGGAGAGGATACTCGGGATTGAACCCCGGGACTCTCTACCTCAGAGCCACACCCCAGGTCCTTCATTTTTATTTCAAGACAGGGCTTTGCTAAATTGCTGAGGCTGGCCTCCAACTTGTGATCCTCCTGCCTCGGCCTCCTGAGCCACTGCTGGGATGACAGGAGTGAGACCCTCTGTATGGCTCCTTAAAGTCCCCTTTAGGCTTCATCGTCAATGAATTCAGACTTGGACAGCAGTTTACACCTGAGCCAAAACCCAACCCTCTTGCCCAAACCCCACACATCCTGGGAGGCACTTGCTGGAATCCAGGAGGTGACTGGTTCAGGGCCCTGGGCACTGATAGCTCTCCTGTCACGGCCCTCATGGGGCCTGCTGGGGCTGCCAGAAGCGTCTGCAGGGCCTGGCTTGTGTCTGAGTGGACAGCAGGTACCTCGGGCCTGGCAGAGTCCTAGCCACAGTGGAACAGAGGGCAGAGGGAGGGACGTGCAAAGGCCCTGAGGAAGAGAAGGGGTGTGGCCTCTGCGCCGGAGGTTCAGTGGGTCCTAGCACTGCGGGGGCTTCCTCTGGCCTCTGGGGTCTCCTCGCTGGGCCCAAACCAACCTGGATGCAGGGCGAGGCGCGGCCCTGCTGCTCGTGGTCGTACAGGGTGTCCAGCACCCACTGCAGCTGCGCCGTGCTGCCCGGGCTCTGGCTGGAGACGATCCCGAACACCAGCACTTGGCTGGGGTCGCGGGGTGCCGACAGGAAGCGCTCCAGCTCCACGTCGGACACCAGGGGGGCCTTCACCATGCACCTGCAGCCGGCCCGGATGTCCTCTCTGCGCAGCAGCTTCCGCAGCATCAGGGGGCAGTCGGAGGGCGAGGCCGCCCACCGCGTGGGGCTGTGCACCTCTTTGGCCATCTTCCCCCTGCGGCAGGAGCATGGCAGAGGGGTCCTCAGGGGGCCGCTGGCGCGCCCCTGCCCCAGCTGAGCTGCCCATGAACAAGGACCCGCTGTGGGGGCTGGGCTGCGGGCGGGGTCCACTCTGGCCTCACCAGCCAGCTGTGCTCGGCCTCAGAGGCCCCCCGGTCTCCCTGCGCCTCCCTTTCCTGGGGACCAACGAGGTGGGTGACTCTCTCCCACACCCCAAGGCCGGCTGCGGGCTCTGCAGGCCCGTCCCCTTGGCAGTCAAGACAGACCCTGAGCTGGCCTCTTTCCCTGACCTCCACTGACGTCAATGGTCTCAGCCTCCTTTTTGTTTGGTTTGGGGTACGGGGGGTGGAACCCAGGACCGCACCATGGTAGGCAAGGGCCCTATCACTGAGCCACGTCCCCAGGCCTTGGAATTTTACTTTGAGACAGGGCCTCACTGAGTTGCCCAGCCTGGCCTCCAAACTTGCGATCCTCCTGCCTCAGCCTCTAGAGTCTCTGGATGACAGCGTGCTCCACTGCGCTGGATCAAGCGTCCTCCTTGCTCAAGTCCCTCTTAGAGGGGCGTGTGCTTTCCCCCCGGGGCCTCTCTGCACTCCATCCTCCATTCAGTGTGCCCAGGGGACCTGTTAAACCCCAAGTCGCATGGTGCCTCTACTCTCTGAAACCCTACAGGGGACTTTCCTTCTTTTTACAGAGTAAAAGCCAAAGTTCCCACCATGCCTGGGTGGTCGCGAGGTGGCTGCTGAGCATGGGGAGGCCCCGGGTTCCATCCCCAGCGCCCAATCATTCAAGAAATCCCCAAATAGATAAAATGTAAAAGCCTATCTCATGTTTAGGGACCTTCCCATCTTCCACCAGGATGAGTCCCAAAGGATCAAGGCTTTAAACCCAAGAGAGTTCAGCTACGGAGTGACCCTGGGAGAGGTAGACAGGTAGGAGGACTTGTCTCTGATTCCGCAGCGGGGACACCTTTTATAAGTGGGACTCCAAAATCCGGGCGTCCTCACAGGGAAGGGCTGCTCAATCCAACTCCCCGACAGAGAAATGGAAATAAACCCCCCAAAATCCTGTGGAGCAAGTAAAAGACACTCAAAGCAAAAGACGAATAGGAGACGGGGGGCATCCTGAAGTGCCCCCACACGTGGTGGCTCATTGCTCTGCTCTGTGAAGGCCGCTAAATGGATAAGAGCCACTTGACGTCCAGCCAGACGTGGACGGGGGCAGCTGACACCCGAGCACATCAGCTAAGAGGTGCAGAAGCTGTTTTTGAAATTTTAGGAAAAGGGTGAGTAGAGCCACCCAGACCCTCATGAGACCGAAATAAATTCAGCAAAAAACCCTGTCGACCCCCATTTATCAGAGCTCTGGAATGGAATTAAAAAAAAAAAAATCCTAACAACCATCAGGCAAGTAAACTGCTAAATACTGGAAAGAGGACACTGTGACATTTTGACTTCCTCCTCTGCCACCGACAGCCCCCAGGTTGGGGGATCTGTGGGAAGGACAGTCCATGTTCCTGGCCCAGCCTGCGGGTCCCATAGGGCAGGGGTGGTGGCTCAGAGGTAGAGCGCTTGCCTGGCACGTGTGAGGCCCTGGGTTCCATCCTCAGCACCACACAAAAATAAATAAAATAAAGGTCCATTGACAACTAAAAAACTATTTAAAATAATCTGGTTTCTGCCAGGTGGGCACAGGGACGCACGCCTGTCATCCCAACGGCTCAGGAGGCTGAGGCAGGAGGATCATGAGTCAAGGCCAGCCTCCAAAACTCAGCGAGGCCCTAAGCAGCTCAGCGAGACCCTTGAGACCGAGGTGTCAAGACGGGCCTTTCACTGAGTTTTTTGGGGCAGAAAAGGCCCCTGGGAAGTGCTCATGGGAACGTCTAAAGACCAAGACCTGAGACTCAGCCTCTTGGTGTAAGAGAAGCAGATGGAGCAAAGGACACACCAAAAGTTCTAGGAATAAAGAGGCCAGGGAAGGAGGTGTAGAGTGGACCCAGGCCTCGAAGCTCTCTCGTATATGGAAGGATCTAGATGCCAGGTCTGGGACCATGTTTGTGGTTCTTCTTTTGTTAGGGGGGTGGGGGTGGTAACTTGAGGTTTGACCCAGGGACACTCAACCCCTGAGCCCCCTCCCCAGCCCTTGTTGTCTTTTAATTCAGAGACAGGGTCTTGCTGAGCTGCTTAGGGCCTTGCTGAGTTGCGGAGGCTGGCCTCCAACTTGCAATCCTCCTGCCTCAGCCTCCTGAGCCGTTGGGATGACAGGCGTCCAGCACTTTCTAGATGTCTCTTCCCCTAGCCGCTCTCCCTGGGCTCTGGCCCGGGCAGGAGAACTGTGCACCGCGCCCAGGTCAGCTCCTGCCCTCTCCCAGCCTGGGGTTCAGCTCCAGGAGGGAGGGACGCAGCACTTAGCTCCCATCATGTCCTCCCTGCCCGTCCCAGACGCCTCAGGGGAAGGGTCAGCCCACCTGGACGTGATGGAGGCCCTGGTGTGGACTCTGGTGCCCTTCTTCCGGGAGGGGCTCATGGAAATAGACTCTGCATCCTCCTTTATAGACTCTTCGACAAGGGAATCTGGCCGGGCCGACTGGGAGCGGGAGAGGATGTCGGCCATGTGGGAACTGGACTTGAAGGCCTTTTCCAGGTGAGACCCGGACTTCAGCCTCACCCGGCCGATGTCGGAGTCCTCCCTCTTGGCGGGGTACTCGATGGTGAACAGACCTGGTAATAAGAGATGCTGCTGTCACGTTTCATCACAGATGGGCCACCTTGGTCCCTGCTCCTGGCCCCACCCAGTGGAACGCCCTTCTGCTCACCCCGCCCCTGCTTGTCCACGTCTAGAGATTCTCGGGCCCCAACCGAAGCCCAGCCAGCGATCAGCCTGAGAATGGCTGCCTCTCCCTCCTTCCCCCCACTTTCCCCAAGGGGCCTGGGTTGGCCCCAGCAGCCAACACAGAGCTTGGGTCCACAGTCAGTTCCTGGATCATGCTGTTCCAGGCTCTGAGAATGCTGTTCCCTGTGCCTCAAGATAGAAGTCCATCTACTTTCTTTGAATGTTCTTTTTTTTTTTTTTTTTTGGAATAGGGGATTGAACTCAGGGGCACTTAACCTCTGAGCCCCGTCCCCAGCCCTTTGTTGGCATTTTATTTAGAGACAGGGTCTCGCTGAGTTGCTCAGGGCCTCCATGAGTTGCTGAGGCTGGCTTTGAACTTGCGAGCCTCCTGCTTCAGCCTCCCGAGTCACTGAGATTACAGGTGTGGGCCACGGCTCGTTCTTTTACACTGTACTTGGTACATGACAGTTGTACCTCATGGTGAGATTCCTTGTGACCTGTGTGTCCAGGCACACAACAGGACGGTATACTTTATATCCTCGTCTTGCTTTCCCCACTAGATTGGAAAATTCGGAGGCCAAGGGCCTCTGTTTCTCCATTCCCTTACCCAAGGATTTAGTGAATGACTGGACTCGGAATAGACAGATGACCCAGGACAGGGCTCCCTCCCTCTGAGGACCCCTGGGGTGACCGGAAGGGAACCATAGCAGGTGTGAAGAGCCCCAGAGCCCCGAGGAGGGTGGGCCGCATTCTGCTGGGGGGTGGGGGCAAGGCAGACTGCCCCTCAGGACAAACGGACTAGGTCTCTGGAGACAAAGAGAAAGTCCCTGGAGAGGCCCCTCCATGCCCGGTCAGGGGTGACATGGAGCAGGGCTCAGCGTCCCCAGTTTCCGGGCCCCCCGGCAGGAGGGGACAGCTGAGGTTTGGAAGGGTGCCCTTGGGCCTAACAGGGACAGCTGGGGAGGGGACAGCTTTCTCTCTTCTGTTGAGACCTTCCCACAAGGAGAGGGGAACAGGAGCTGCAGACAGATGACGGGTTAAGATGGGTCACCAAGCTGAAGGGGTGACACAGGTGTGTACGTGGGGACCAGAGGGACACGGAACGATGACGAGGGGCCTGGCAATAAGACACTGACGTGGAGACGTTGGAGACACAGGCCACGTCCACCGATCTCGGGCAGATACCTGTCACGGCTGGAACCCAGGGTCACACCCAAACGGGGCCTGACCCCTGCTGCCCAGGTCCCCACATAGGAGGGGGGCGGTGAGGAGCTCAGTCCCCACCCGGTGGCCGCCCGCTGCCCTCACCTGCAGCCAGCAGGATGGAGTTCATGAACTGGGTCACCGTCTTCTGGAACCTCCTCTGGATCTCCACCAGGGCCCGGGTCAGCTTTGACACCTTGTCGTCCGAGCCCCCGATCCTGCGGGGCGGCTGGAGGGAGGCGAAGGGCAGGGGTCGTGGCCACCTGTCCCCCTCCGCCTGCAGCACCCCTCTCACCCTCTCCCTCCAGTGACCTCCTGCGCCTCGGCCCAGACCTGAGCAGACCTCCCCACCCTGAAGGGCTTCCCCCGATTCCCCTGGGCCTCGCTGTCCTGGGCCTGGACTCCCGACATGCTCTCCACGCAGCCACAGGGCAGATGTCTGCCCTTTGTGAAGACACGAGGGGTGTTGCAGCCCGTCTCCCCCAGACCCTGCGAGCTTCTAACTGCTAAGTAGTTGAGGCTGACTGTCCCCTAAAGGCCCATGTGATAAAAGTGTGGCTGTTAGCGTGGAGTGGAGCCTTTAAGAGGTGGGGCTTAGCGGGAGGACTTTAGGTCATTGGGGGCGGGCCCTTGTTGAGGTGGTCTGAGGGACTCCAGCCCTTTCCTCTTTCTCTTTTCCTTCCTGGCCATGAGTTCAGTGGTTCTGTCCCACCACACGCCCCTGCCAGGGCACACTGCCTTGCCACAGGCCCCCATCAACAGAGCATCATGAACCGGAACTTCCAACACTGTGAGCAAAAAATAACCTTTCTTCTTTATAAGTTGATTATCTCAGGCGGTTTGTTACAGTGATGGTCTCTGGGTCTCGGTGCCTATCACACAGAAGGAGCTCAGTAAATGCTGTCCGTGAAGTGTGGCACTTTTGCTGCCCGTTGTCCTGTGCGGTGGGAGAATACTGGCTGCCACCAGGTCCCAGATGAGAACTTGTCATCGACCAAGGTTACAGAGACTGACTGGTCACTGGGGGGCACAAAGGCCCAGGCCTTTTGCCTCGATTCTGCAGGGTCACTGCAGCCAACTCCCAGGAGTCCCAGATGAACTCCTGCACACCTATCTCCATTCCAGGGGCTGTTTCCCAGGGAAGCCAACCCCAGACTTGCTCTGGACATCGGGGGCAGCTCCAAGCAGCTGCAGCTTCCAGACTGAGGCCCGGCTGGGCCTGATGTCTTCTCCCAGCAGCCCTCCTGATTTCCTCAGCCAACGGCAACTGCTCTCAGCTAAACCTCCACATCCATCCACTCCTGTCTGCCTCAGGTCTTGTTCGTTTTCGGCTTCCTTTGTCCCTATACTTGGCCGGCTCCTGGCGGGCAGGACCAACGCTTTCTATGTTTCTCATTTAACAGTGTGGGAGTGGGAGGCTGAGGCAGGAGGATCGAGAGTTGGAGGCCAGCCTCAGCAATTCAGTGAGGCCCTGAGCAACTCAGGGAGACCCTGTCTCTGAATAAAACAGAAAAAGGGCTGGGGACGGGGCTCAGTGTTAAGAGCCCCTGGGAACCCCAGGGACTCCCCAGTTTGGTGGAGGTGACAATGAAGGAGTGCTATGTTGGAGCTGGGGGGAGGGGTTGCTGAGAAGGAGACACAGACTGGATCTGGAGGGGCCCGGGTGGCAGAGGGTCCTCGTATTTTGTCCAGCGTCCCTTCTCCTCCTCCTGGTCAAAGCACCCTGATTTGCCTTTGGGAAAACATTCTGCCTCGTCCCTCACCCCAGTGGTTCATGTGAAGCTGATGTCACACCCTGACCCTGAGGATAGTATGACACTCAAGTGTGGCCCGCTGGGGCAGCACACGGGGGACACTTCAGTCACGGGCACCCATCAGAGCTGCTGAACAGTGATGCGGTTGCTTTCTCTCCTCCTTCTCGCTCTCTGAGGTCCTGGGACTGAACCAGGGCCTCACGGTCACTGGGCATGACGTTGGCACTTCCGCTGGAGCACTTGGGATGCCACCGCGGGTAGGATAAGAGCTCAGAGTTGCTTGTGGCCATTAGGAGAGAAACTATGAGACTAGATCTGACCCAGACGAAAGCAGAACCAAGGGAGGGGAACGCCTCATGGACTCTCGGGAGGGCCTGGATCCAGCCGTGCCTGAAGCCGCCCATCAGCAGACTTCTCAAGTTCCCTGAGCCGACACGTTCTTCTGTCATGGTTAAGCCCATCCACGTTGGATTCTGCCACTGACAAGTGACAGACACCTGATACCAAAAGTCCACTAAGGACAAGAAGGTGGTACTAAGGTTAAGCGGTGAGTGACAGTAGAGTGACACACAGGACCTTGCCGGGGAGAGTGGTGGGCAGTGGGAGCCAAGACCCTGGGACGGGAAGTGGCAGGTCACGGCGACAGGCCCCGGGGTCGGGGCTCCTCGCGTGGCTCTGCCTTACCCGTTTCTCTGGCGTGGTCACGTGGGGACAGGTTCTGGCCGACACAGTGAGCGTCACCGTCTCGTTCAGGGAGGTGAAGGTGACCACGACGGAGTCCTGCCCCAGCATCGTCAGCTTCATCTGCTCGTTCACCTGCAGACGAGAAGGGTGGCGCTCAGAGGTCCCGGCCTGCGCTGTCCCTCGCACCCCGTCCTGAGGCTCAGGGTCCCTCTGGGCTCAGCTGAAGGCTCTGAGACCTTCCTGGAGCTTGGGCGGATCCAGCAGGAGGCGGGGGAAGTCCAGCAGCTGAGGCCCGTGTGGAGCACCCGGCTTCAGTGGCCCGAGCAAAACACCAAGACCAACCAGTGGAGCTGAGCCAGGCTCTCGCAGGCTGACCCTCCCGTGGGCGGCCATGAACTTGAAGGAGAAGAGCCCCAAAGAGTGAACATGAGGCAGGGGATTCTGGGGACGAGGGCGGGAGAGTCTGTGTTCCCCAGCCCTGGCCCTGAAGGCGGGTCAAGGCCGCGGCCAAACACTACCATCTCTCCTGGCACGAAGACCTGAGGGCTGAGCGGCTGCCTGCTGAGCTGACAGGGGCCAAGGCTTGCTGTGTGAGTGTCACCCAGGTCACCACCAGTCACCATGACCACAGCAGCAGGCTCAGAAGAGACCATGGGATCCCAGGGATTTCACATATGACATCTGCCATGTCACCTGAACTCCAGAAGGACTCCAGGGGCAATCTGGTACTGGACTCAATCCCAGTATCCCCAAAAGGAGGAGGAGGAGGAGGAGGGGGAGGGGAGGGGAGAAGGG